GCCACCCGATATGTCGCTAAGTTTATTTAGGAACAGGGTGACTAACAGTGCGTGATAATTATTAAAACTTACTTAATTTACTAAAAATACATCATAAATGTAAAAAGTATGTTTACATTTCATTGTGCGGGGTTTTAATGCAACTATTTTGCCAAAGTGTCTACATAAATATAGTGTTTATTGTGTGAAATAGCGCCGAGAGGTTAGTTCAATTTACAAACTTTAACAACAAATTACTTAAAAACTATAAGCCTCCTGCGGCTAAAAGTATATATATTTGCAATCAGGAGAACTCCCCCTACCCCCCCATAGCCACCTTTTTTTTGTACGCGGGGGATGCCAAACTAAAATTTTCCCAAAAAATTGTGTACAAACAAATCATGTTTCCAAATGATTGTAAACCTTAAAGCAAGCATGCCTATGTACATATGTACATGGTCGTATGTATGTACATATGTATGTATGTACGTATGAGTATGCAATCCCTGCATTATTGAACAATAGCTAACGGCTGCTGCTCTTGAATCCACTTCTGTGTTTATTGTTGCGCACCAAGTGATATCCTTTTGTTTGTACGGCTTGGGTAACACCACTCCGTGGACACACAAGTAATCACACACACGTGTCCAATGCGTATTTGTATGTATGTATCTGGAATCTCTTCAGCATTCCGTGGGCAACATCTTGACATTTTGTCGGTCATCTTAGCGTTGAAAAGCTCATGTCGTATAAAGAAAAACTCTTCCCCCACTTATTTAGCTTTCTAGCTTGTTAAATTAGGAAGTATTTAATTCATATTTTAAAAATTGTTTCGCCTATTCCAAGGTACATTGAACAGGTAGTATCAGTAGAGCAGCTGATTTGATTTATTTTCAAATTATTTGGTCTCGAAAATGTCAAATATTTTTAATTTTTTCTCACAAAAATTCTGAATTGTTAAAATCCATTTGCATGTGAAACCTTTTTTCATACAAAACAAGCGATTGAATAGCAGCTTTTGGAACGTTCGCCCAACTCCCGCTGATTACTGGCCCTTGTAAAGGATGGATCAATGCTTCGAGAAGCAAACAAATTTACTAGGAAAGAAAGTTGCAACAATTTTTATTTTTTTCCAATTTCAATTTTTTATTTTTTATAATTTTTTGTATTTCACATGGCACGCTTTGATTTAGAAGAAAAAATTCAGAACAGTTTTTGACACTTTCGATACCAGAAGCCACAACAAAATACAAATGTTGTTTTTGCTCTACTGATACTACCTGTTTAATGTGCCTTGGCCTATTCATAAAAATGCTATTTAACGTCTTGATATTAAAATCAAAA